TGGGAGGAGCTAATATAACAGCATATACTATAACATATACATATTAAAATGTAATTGTGTGAAGCGCGCCGGGCTGTCCTACGCGCGTAAGACAGCCCGATGCACGCTTATTCGCGGATCTTTGTTAATTAAAATCTCGATAACTATTGCGAATTTAGCAAAATGGTATAGGACTTTTCACCTCAGTTTTATTCCTTCTACCTGTCTACGAGAGATGTTAAACCAATTCTGGGACACCCTGTATACATATACATATATGTCTATATATAATTTTATAAATGTTACGGATATATTTTTCATTAATAATTATTCAAACAGTATAGTGCAGAGTGATACATACGTTTGAGTAATATTACTGAAAAAGATATTCGCGACATATCATACAAAAATTTATTAGTTTTAAAATATTTTATTCATACCCGGTAAAAAATTCTTCATATAAACTTATACACAAATTAAAATAATTATATCTAATTATGCAAATTTATATGTGCCGAATATGTCTATACAATTTTATACACGGAGAATTTCTTTTTTTAAGAGGATGGCTTCAGAGATATTCCATATCAAATTACACAATAACTCTATTAGTATCATATTAGATACAAAAAAAATTGTATAAAACTATATTTTTACTATATTTTTAAAAAATTTTTGATATATAATCATATATACTTATACACAAATTAAACTTATTATATCTAAAATTATGCATATTTATATACCGAATATGTCCATACAATTTTATACATGGAAAATTTTTTACTGGGTAGTCCAATGCAATGTATGCAACGTGCCAAATGGTAAATCACGTTAAATAACATCTCTAACGTTTAGAAGACATAATAAAAACATTTGATATATATAATATTGCTACTTGAAATGCAATACAATATTACCGTAATATTTTATTATTATATGTAAATGTAATATGTCGATAATATTATTGTAATATTATATTAAGGATAAAAAGGATAAAGGAAGTTTAATTGATTCCCCTCAGGGTTACAATATTTTTCAACACTCCACTTTTATATCCACAATCCATTTATATCCACGATCTATTTGGAGGCCCGATTCATTTCGCTTTTCAATCGATAAACTCGACTTGAAAGAGACCGGCCCGTAAAAATCCGACGGTGTGGATTCGAACTCGGGATCTCCCACTCGCAGCCCTCAGGCCGCGAGACCACTGGGCCGGTCTTGTAATATTATATTATAATATCTAATATTACTGATATATTGCAATTTTACTGTGATATTGCAGTAATATTACGTGCTATGTGGGAAGTTGTGAGAAGATATTAACATATATAAATAATTTGTTGTAAGAAGATATTAACATATATAAATAATTTGTAATACCAATAACATATAAAGAATTTGTAAGCATAGTACTTGCGTATAAAAAAAATAAACGCATTTGATAATTTTGTATAAACAGAAGCATTGAAATTCTATAGTTAAACTTTACCGGTTTTGGCATAAGTTAAAGGTTATTGCCTGCATAAACAAAACCTAATCTTCCCAGTTTCCAATGTACAGATTACGGCCGTGACGTCATGATACTTTAGTTCTTGGTATAAGGCCATGGCACTCTTTACACATGTTGACTTCAACTTTTTTTTGCCACTAGCAGTCCAGGTTTATATAGTCAAAGGTTTGACCACGGTACGATTGCACACGTACTATTGGCCCCGTACGATGGGACACGGTACGATTGACCACAGTACGATTGGACACCGCAAGATTAGTGTCCCTGGAATACAGAGTCTGGCCATCTCCCTTAAAATGGCGTCTAATGGTAGTGGGGATGCCAATGTAGTGAGGATGTAGTAAGATCCAAGCATATATATAATACTTCTATATTGCTAGTCGCGTATCTTCGCAATGAGAGGCACGAGGCCCGAGAAAGAGAGACGCACGAAGTCCAAATACGGGCATAGATAGTCGAGCGTCATTATGCGCAGGTGCGTCTACTAAGCAAGTGCGAGCGAGACAAAGCATTAGAAAGTGAGAGAAAGAACGCGAGAAAGAGAAATGCCCAAGCGTGCTTGAATGTTCACCGCATGCGCACAAAGCAGCTGGACCTTGCGCGAGAGAGAGGCTACTATATTGTCTGCACCGTAACATTTGGGCTTCAGGTCGGCACCGTACTAGCAATATAGAAGTATTACATATATGGATCCAAGTAAGACGTAACACAAAAATGTGCTAGAAAAGTGAAGTTTTATTATTAAGACATTATAATAAGACGTAAAGAGAAAGTAAGTAATAAACAAAAGTTGATTAATATACAATATATGAAACTTGAAGTATAAAATTGGTCAGGAGATTAAAATATATTCATTATTTTTTTCTTAATCTGAAAATAATGTCAATTGTAATCATAAAGTTTAATTACAGAATAAATTATGCCTCATTGTTGTGTGCCTCAATGTTCAAATTCATGGAAAAAAAAATATTTAATGCATTGTCTGCCAAGAAATGTAGAAAAAAGACAAAAATAGATCGACAATATTGGAATAGATTTGGATCTAACAAAAGTCCATTTCATATGTGAGGTAAGCTTTACTTTCTTTGTAAATTATATTAAGAAACTATTACATATATTATATATATTAGTTGTATAAATATTGTTTTAAATATTGTAAGTATAATAATATCACTATACAACAGACACATTTTGCGGTTGAAATGTGGGAAAAACCACGAATTGATGGTAAAAAAAACTAAAAAGCACAGCAGTTCCTACAATTTTTAATTATAAAAATAGTATACCTTCCATCAATGCCAACAACATGGATTTAGCTTCTCCAAATGTAAGTTTAGATTGTTTTTATTAAAAGACGTTTTTAAACTTCTCTTTATTAAAATGTATGTTTTTTAAAGAAAAGTTATTAAAAATGTATAATTAATAATATATAATTATCTATTACAGATTGAAAATAACATAGTATAATAACAAATTATGAGAATTTATCACATAATATGATATTGAAGGAAATAGAAGATATTAATGAACCATGTATTCAAAATGTAGAAAAAATACATAAAGATGTGAAAGAGGAAGAAGCAGAACCTATTTCAGAAGCAGCAATATCTGTGTCTTTTCTATCCTTTAGAGCAGTTAACATGGAAAAAGTTTTAAAAGAAGCTAAAGAAACAAAAATAAAACTTGACAAAGCTAATGTTATTATTAATACATTGGATAAGTCGAAAAAGACTCTGCTGAAACATGTGAAAAGACTAATATATGAAAAAAGAAAGTTGGCTGTAGAAAATGAAATTCTGAAACAAAGTAAAAACTTTAGTAAAATACTGAACACAGATCAAGTAAAAGCTCTCAATTTGCGATCTGTACGAGGTCACAAATGGTCCAACAATACTATTAAAAAGGCTTTGCGATTAAGACTATCGTATGGAAATAGCGGTTATCAGGAATTAATAAGTCAAGGCATTCCATTACCATCAGGACGTACGCTTAGAAGAAGATTACAGGATTTTAATTTTAAACCTGGAATTTCTGATCAAATATTTGACATGTTAAAACAACGAGTATCACAAACTACAAATGATAGGGAAAAAGATTGCATGCTTGCAGTCGATGAAATGAGTTTAATGTCAGGCAAACAAATCGATCAAAGTACAATGTCGTATATTGGCCTTTCAACTCTTCCTGATACATTTGGTAATTTATCCAATATCTAATATAAACAATAATATAATTTAACTTGTATATATATTTTCATTTTTTCTTTACAGAATACATGAATTTAACTACATACATACATGTTGTTTAATTACTGTAATAAGATATAAAATACATGTAAAAATATAAGTATGTTGTCTTTATAATTACTAAAGTATTATTATTTATAATTACTAAAGTACACAATTAATTAACTTCGTTTTCCAATATTTTACTTTTATCATTCTTTAAATGTATGTGCGCTCCCGCTTGCACTTTGATTGGTGCCACCATTTTAAAAGTAAACCAATGAAAAGATGTCACCGATATGGCCAGACTCTGTATTCCAGGGACACTACGCAAGATTAGCATACTGCACGATTGACCACGGTACGATTGACCACCGTACGATTGCCCACAGTCCGATTGGACACAGCAAGATTAGCATACTGTACGATTGACCACGGCACAATTGACCACTTTACGATTGAGTACCGCTACATAAGACTATCGCCAGAGAGAAGCCTGAGAGCGGCCACGGCCATAAGAGTTTCTGTCATAGCTTTTCGTGGACATGGTTCTATTCCGTGCTAAGTTTGTGGACATGGTTCTATTCCGTGCTATGAGAACACCGACGTGGTGGGGATACGCACACAAGCGAGACCGTTGTCCGTGCCATAGACTTATATATAAATAGACCCAGCGTTCTGTGAGAGGAGTTGTCCGCGTCTTCTAAAGGACGGAACGATATGCATCCAGGTGCTGTCTCCGTCGCTCCGCCGGTCTG